GATTCCAGAACAGCCAGCATACCATAAGCAAAATGTCAGGTGTCTGTCAACAGAGCATGTATAAAGCTCCTGTGAATCAATAAGAAAAAGATCACACACGCAAAAAAAATGGGTAGCAGCTCTGATAACAATTCATTTGACAAAGATACACAAATCAGCCACAAACCGGGAAAAGATGCCCAAATTCACTGGGCACAAGGAAAAAGCAAGGAGTCCTAGCGGCACAAGGGTTAGAGACCGGGCTGATAACTCGAGGCTGGTACGGGTTCAAGAAATACACCTGGAAGAGCCCTGCAGAAGAGACCTGGCAGATCTCAACCCCAGAAACCAGAAACAAGAGGGCATTTCTGCTCTGTCACACAGGGTCATTCTGAGTCCAGAGTCAACAACTGCAGGGGACATGCATCTAAAATACCTCTTAACCCATCTGAGGGAAATAAATGTACAGCAGGAGGGTCTATCGTAGTTGAAGGGTGTGAGGAAAGGGGCATGTCAAACACCACTCACGTACATGTGAATTTGTGCAACCGTTTTGGAGAATCATACTGTACATTTTAAATGCAACTTCCCTATTTTAAGTTTTTTAACAGACCTCCATTATTGAGGGGGGTGGGGGGAAATGATGGAAAGCACCACTCATGAGTAAAAAGGGTGTGAGGGATGAGAACTGTGACAAGCGGAGCCAAGCCCACTGGACTCCCGTAATAACTGACTTCACGGTCTCCCCCAGCAAAGCAGGAGCATTCATTTCCACGGCAGGCACGTGATACCGCTTCCTGTGTGCCTGCCCTGATTCATTCCCCCGGCAGGCACGTGATACCGCTTCCTGTGTGCCTGCCCTGCGTACATCCTGCTCGTCCTCCCGACCAGCCAGCAGCATCGCTTCGAAGACCTCGATTTTACAAAGGATTTTCAAAGGCGGGGTGGCTCTTACTGTCCCATCGTCGCCGTGGGCCAGGCTGGGACTCGGCTTGCCTGGCCTTCGCACAGCCACCTCGCCAACCCCGCACTGCCGCGCACAAGCACTTCGTTATGTCTTTGTCCTTGACCTCTTGCTATTCCTTTTCTCCCTTTTTAACGGCATTCAAGCTATTTTCTTTTTAGGCGTCCTTGCTTTTAAATTATTTTGTGAGCGCAACACGAGTCTTTCAACCAGCTTGAACAGAGTATTTTAAGTGAACCAAACATTAAGGCGCTTCCCCTTGTCCAGCAGTTCTCCCCTTTGGCTCAGAAAACAGGTTTATTAAAAAACTTTGTCGGTTTATAGTCACACAGTATGCTTTCTAGTTTTCACAAATCAATCCTAAAGTCAATGAAAAAGTGAACAGTTGCGAGGGTTTGTCTTTTATGAGTAGGAAGTAAGAAGAGAAATATGAAACCCGCCCACCGGCAGTGCCCTGACTGTGTGGATTCGGAGCCCAGGGTCAGCACCTGCCGATCCTCTTCCAACGCGAGGAGAAAGGATGAAACCGGGCCCGTGGCTGGCCCATCTTTCCCTGTCAACTGAAGGGTTAACCCCAGATCTAAAACCTGAAAGCAAATTTGTTCAAATACCCTTTCACTTACTTTCTAGTATTTTCCTGTATTTTTTCAACCCCTATCTTCTCTCTCACAAAGAAGCTGACATTGAAAAAAAAAATTGGACTCTCATCTGTAAAGATTTTCTATGGCCTTTACTTGACTACTCTTTGCTCTATGCAGGACCTGACAGGGATTATAGGGGGGAAAGGGAAGTGTAAGGGTATATAAATTTTAAAGACCTATGCTACTGCTGGCTAAATTATGTAAACATTTCTTTGGGTCATTTATCATTCTTTGGGGAAATGAAATGAGACTTTCAAAAATTAATGACAGGGCTACACTGGAGATGTTTCTGTAATTCTGCTCATCCCCTACACACACACACACACACACACACACACACAGAGTTGATGAGAGTACAGACGAAGACACAAACCCATAGTGAATGATAACTGCAGGGCTTCAAAAGAGCGCAGCAGAAACAACTCGTTTCCACTGGAGACACAGTGTGGGAATTGTGTCCGATCTGATCCCACCACACCGAGGGAAAACACTAAGGGCGTGCAACAGAGCGGCAAGAGGAACAGAGCAACGAAGTCCCCAGGGAATAACAAAAACAGACTTTGGGGCCAGGGTTTGGCACCCCATCAGACTCAACCAGAAAACACTCTTAAAGGCCAACAAACAGTCCTTGAACTAACTACAGGCTTTTCTTTTTTGTTGTTGTGGTTTTTTGTTTGTCATTGGCTTTTTGTTGTTGTTGTTT